TGAGATTATACACAGAAAATGAATCCCCGCATTTCTATCAAAGCTTTTGTATATAATCGCACAAAAAAAGGATAACAAGCCCAAAGGGACGATATACACATAAATGTAATATCTATCCACATGGGGAAATAACATAGGCATTCCCCGATACTGAAACTCTGAAGGTACTTCTGTTGAACAACACGTGTATTTCACAGCAGTCTTGGTTCAGATTGACAGCATTCAGCATCAGGAGGGCAAAGGTCAGCACATTGTGACTTTCTGACAATGTTTATCTACACGGTTCACAGAGCTTTTGTTGAGCCTGACTGTGTTTGTGGTGTGAGATCAGGCACATCAGTGTTGTGTTGGGGGTTCATGTGAAAATCTCCCATTCCCCAAATTGTCTTGGCTTTCAGACCTGGGAACTGAACCCCCGTTTACAAAAAACATTTACATCACAAAGAGGTTAATGCTCCTTCTCACTCCTCCCGATTTGGAGGGAAACAGACGCACTTTAGAGAGGAGTGTGATAAACAAGCTTGATTTACAAAGTTATCCCTTAACTCATTTCCTGTCATCTCGCATTTTTGCATTCAAAGAAAAGACATCCATAAACTTTGACAAGGATGTGAACAATGTTGTTTTAAAAATGTAAATAAATGCAAATATTTTATGAGAAGGGAAACGCATTTATCTAACTTGGTGTAAATACAAACATAACATTTGTTTAGAGGAACAATTCAGAGGGCGCCTTCAATTCTGCTTAAGTACATGTTCTAAAGGCAAGACTTTAATAAACAGTTTTGACATAATAATGTAAGATTTCTACTTTAATTTAAATGGGGACTATGTTCATTTTGAAAGAATTTGCTGCTGCAACCTTACTTGTTCCAATAAGACAAGATGCTTGAGCTAATGTTAGCACATTTCAGATGCATATTCCTGTTAAACTGATATATATTCACGACTTGTGACGCTTTAGCATTTAGGCATAATTGCCACTTGCAACAGTCACAGTTTTTTAAGCGTGTAAAAAATAGTGACTTTAAGGGAGAGTTGTGTCCACTACTGAGCTAATGACCATACATACACAAGATGCCAGTAAAGAAATGTATAGCATCGATTCCTCTATTGGTGCTTTTTCCACTGCAGCACGTAGCACGGTTTAAGGTTTAACTCGGGGTAGTTCCGGCTCAGGGCTACTTTTTCACTTTTTTTCTGGCCCTCCAAAATCGAGGTTCTTACGGGACCAACAACCGGGCTGAATATGCTAAACTAGTGACGTAAACACTCTCGACTGTTGAATGGTCAGAGAGAATCACTGGCAAGGGGGCTACAACTACAACACAATGAACATATTTGACCGTGATTTCATTGTAATACACGTTTCAAAATGATGCCGAAGTAACAACATACTGATACCGGTCTGCAGACAGACGGCATGCGAGAAACCTTTTAAAATGCGTGTTTTCTGAATGGAGATCGGATCGATCAGGCTAAGCTAACGTTGTATATGCTCCGACCGTCCACTCTCACAACAACGGCCTACAGACATAAATAAACCAGCGACTGTATTCGCCATGACACAGACAGTCTGTGGTTTGTACTTGTTTAACTTCTGTCTAGTTTCTGAACAGATATGAGGAGCTGTGAGCTCTGAGTGCTAACCGCTAACGGCTGATGTTTTGGTTTTGTGGTTCGCATTGAAGATGACGTCACGGCAGTTTTACGCAGCGTCGCTCCGCCCGCCGAACAGCCGATTGCCCCGCCTACACTGCGTTACTATAGTAACTACCCCAGTTACTAAACTGTAATGGAAACACAGCTTAAAGTGAGCCTGGCTTACCAAGGCCAAACTAAGCTGTGCTAAGCCGTGCTAGGTCCAGCAGTGGAAAAGTGCCATAAGTGAAGAGCTGCCAGGCTGAGAAGAGATGAAAAATACAGAAATGATGCAATAAAATAAAATGCAGCCTGAAAATAAAGATGCTTTGCTAGTGAAATAATGCAGAAGGGTGGTGGAAGGGAACTTTTTTTTTAAACAGGGAAGAGGCAAAATAGAGGAAATGAAAAAGGTCTCAAATAACTTCTCCAGTGGAAAAGTTTGTCTCAAAAGGGTGAGAAGCGTGAGACGAGAAGGAGGAGAAAGTATGACTTCAGCTGCCTGTTATACAGCACAGGAAGAAGTTGGCATGCACACCCAAACACAGAGCCATGCTAGCTAACCTGTATTTAGGCACAGAATCTTTGAGACAAATGCTAACATTGGTATGCTAACATGCTCAATATCAGAATAACATAATGTTAAATGACATGCTAAACATAGTGGCTTGTCTTTTATGCTGCTACAATGCAAACATTTCCCAAATTGGGATCAATAAAGTACATCTTATCTTATCTTATAACACACTTGTGTTAAATAACCATGTTCAGCACCTTAGTTTAGCGTGTAAACAGGTTAACATATCAACCCAGTCTCACGGCATTTCGTGTTATAGTCACAAAATGAATTTAATCTATTGATTCGTGTTCACCATCACGATTTTTTTCGTGCCTGCACCACGTCTTTTTGTCCGGTCGGGTCTTGAAATACCAGAAGCTGTGGTTCATAAAAATATTCTCTTACTCAATATCTTACCCTAAGCCTAACTCTTTTATTTTAAATTGTATAATGTCTGAGTTTCTTTGCCGTCCGCGAGGAAAATAAATGGCTCAGAGCCTCAGAATACTGAAATCTGTATATAAAAAAAAAAAAAATGTCTTCTAATTTGTTATTATTTGGTGCAGGCACGAAACATACTACCAACAGAAATACATTGCTTCTAAAATCGTTCTGTGTCAGAATACTGAAATCTGTATTTTTTGTATCTCTTTTTCCTTCTAATTTATTATTATTGACATTGCTTTTAAAATCATTCTGTGTGACACGAATGCGAAGATCGTGTTGGTGAACACGAATCAATAGATTCATTTTGTGACTATAGCACAAAATGCCGGGAGACTGTGTTATAGGCTATAGGCTACTATTCACTAAAACTAGGCTAAAGACAGAACTAATGGGAATGCCGTTGATAAAGTATACGACCAATTGAAAGTATGACCTTAGGATCACAAAAGTCAGTAGGATTCACCCATGAATATCTGGACAAAATGTACAAACCATCTTATAGATGTTGAGATGCTGCTAGCACGGCTAAAAGTAGCAGTGGCCTACAAGCCGTCAAGACATTTTTAAATTAGCACAGATTGTTTGAAATATTAAACCCTGAGATGGGAATCATTGATAAACAACCAGACAAGAGCATGTTGCTGTAATTACCATTTAACATAAAGAAAATGTTACATATAATCTATGTTAAATGCAGAAATGGACCCCTGAAAATGCATTGGAAGCTAAAAGGCAAAGCAGATACCTATGTGTGAGTATTTCAGAGACATAGAGAATACACATATACTGAAAGTGCTATGTAAAGCGAAAACTCAGCTTGAAGAGTCAGGTTTCCTAAAATAACAAATGTACACTTTGCAGAGACGCTCCTTAAAATCAATTTCCCATCATGCCCCTGAGCCATGTGTTGTGTCAGGTCAGATAATTAGCACATTGATTCTGTTAATGAAAGTCGGACATCTGCTTTGTACAGGGTTTATTTTCCTCCCTCAAACAGATTTAACCTGTGATTTCATGTCAGCGAGTTGGCAGCTAGCGACCCTCACCCAGTCAAAGGGGGGGAGGAAACCCACACAGAGAGATTTATGAACTCACCTCAAACAGGAACTACAGAACAAACATTGACTTGTTCCACATCACAGCTGTGGTTTCCTCATGCCTAGGGAAACCGTTTGTGTAAGAAGTCACAAAGAGGGACTCCGAGATCTTAGATTTTTGTATTTCCGAGTAATCCTAAAGCCTTTTTTCCTTTGAATTTGATGACTTTTTTTCTTGCAAATGTCTTTATAATCTTGGAGTATATTCAGGTGTTCCTGTAAATTCTTCCACATTTTTTCTTGTAAATGTACAATGTACAATCCACTTTTTACTCCAAAATGTGTGTTTTTCCTCCTGAATGTACCACTCTAATCTCAGAAAATGTCAACGTTTTGTCCCATAAATTCCTCAATTTAATCTCAGAGAATCTTGTAGAAATATTTTCTGGAAAATTAAAGACTTAAAGGTGGGGTATAGTGGGTACATTTGAGAAACCGGCTCGAGATACACTTTTTGTTATATTCCATGGAATGCTCTTAACATCCCGATAGCAATGAATATCTGAAGTGCTTTGACAATAAATACATTAAAGAAATTCATCTGTGGAAGCCGTAGTACTGTAAAAAGCACGACCAATCATCTGAGCCGGCCCGGCTAAAGTAACTGGATGGCCTACCTGCCTGTCAGCCTTCCATCTGTGCACAAACTTATCTCGTGCCCTCATTGGTCATGTGCGCGTTCGTGTGTGTTGGAGGAGGGGCTCTGTAAGGAAGTGGCAGATTTTCTCCGGTTGTGTATTTTCAGATTCTAGCGCACTCGAGCTGGTTTCTCCAACATTACCTCCCCCACCTTTAAGTCTCGGGAAATCTCACTTATTTTTGGGAATTTCCCCCCCCTACCTGTGCTCTATAATAACACCTGTGTACACCATTGTAAAAATCAAAGTACCATCACACTGTTTGAGAAACGTACTCTAATAACGTGACGTGTCTGCATATATAATTAAAGGGTCATTCTGTAAAAACTTCAGTGTCATAATGATTATCACACAGGGAGGGGTCTAACCAGAGATGTGTAAATTACAGCATCAGAGAGTCATCAGACCGCCTTCCTGTCTGTGAGATCGCACATCAAACATGTGAGAGCATGGTTAGCACCGCAAACAGATGTTTTACTAAACTTTGAAGTGTGCATATATACACACAGTACAGGCAGTAATATGTGATGTTTAAAATTAGACGTGAGATGTACGCCACTCCTCCTAACGCAGACTTCTTAATAATGATGTAACGTACAAATCAAAACAGACTCCTCG